CAATCTCCTACAAGCTTCACAACAATAGAACAAGAATTTAGAGCCTAAAAATGCAAAAAAAAGTGAGAGTAGAGATTTTTTTAATACGTTAATTAAAATTAACTCATTCAATTATGAATTTAAATATAAAATTAAATCCAAATCACACTTAATAATAATTATACTACTATTTAATATATTACAACAAAATATTACTGTAATTATTTATTAATTAATATTAATTAATATAATCTGATATATAATAATTTTGTTAATCCACCAATATTGAGATAAATACGACATGGTGTCCATTTGGTTGTCTAATGCGTTTGCTTTGTTAATAAGTGCCGAGTTGTTTAAAATGTATGAAATGTGGATAGTTCTTTTAGTTTTCTGTTGTATATAGTCTTTGTGATGTGAAATTTTGACTTTGTAGAGTTTTTTCGTGTGAAACCTGGAAAGGGGTTGCATTTGTGAGGACCAAAATGCACAATTATATAACAGGAAATAATGTTGAGAAGACTTTTCGTGCTGGAAGTACGGTAATCTGTAATTTTAAAACTAAATTGACGTATCATTTGGCTCTCTATGCTAATACATTGCAACTTCAACTTACAGTTTGAGGTTAATATCATTTAAAGGATAAAAAAATGCCACGGTGTCTTCTTTATAGAGCAAGTTATTTCTTTTTTAAGCATTATGACCTAGTTCTGTTGAGGATAAGATTAGGAATATGTTGGATTAGGAAGGGTCCTAGTGTTTGGCAGCATTTTTTCTCCTGCTAGCATTGCTCCTTTGTTTCAATTCAAATACTAAGCATTACTTGCATTATAGGAATATGAGGTTTTTATTTTTTTTGTTTTCCATGCCTTCATTTATATACTTGTTTTTACAGATTGATGGGACAGATGTTTTCAAGGAAACTAAGTAGTTCACATAGAAAGATGGTTCCCAGTTTGTCTTCATGGACCTGGTATTTTTCATTATATTCATATAATACAACTCATTAATGGTAGATAAATGAATTCCATAGCTTCTACCTATGTTATCAATCTGCTGAAAATTTGACGGAAATGCCATATGTTCATGTAATAAGTAGTAACTAGTTATCTCTTGCATAATCAGTAGTTAAACTATCCTCTCTTTGATACTTGCAATGGAATTAGTTAATAACTATGCCCATTTAGGCTTTTCTCTTTAACAATTGTATTAGAATGCTAGTCTTATTTCTTTCCCATGTCAGTCTTATAATGATGTTTTAACTTCCTATAGAACACATATGAAGAAACCCGACTAAATGAGGCAGATGTGGGGGACAAGACAAAATGGTTGAAATAGGGAATTGGACTGCAGTTTGCTCTTCTGGAATGGGAAGTTACTTTATAATTTCTTTTAGTTCATGTATCTCCTTTTCTTTATTTGAATTTTGAAGTTTTTGATATATATAGATGTATGCTCTTGTTTGAAATCTGAGTTCAAGAAGATGCTCTAAAGCACTTACAAAGACTGAGATAGTTCCCTGTGTCAGATGCTAAGCAGTGTTCTTGTAGCAATCAGCATTTTATGTTTACTTAAAATGACTTATCAGTCTCATATGCCTGTATATGTGCAGGTTATGGCATCCGGTAATTAATAGCAAAGATTAGCATTATTTATATTAGTAATTGCTTGTTTCTTCTTATCTGTCTGCACTTTCTTGTAGGTTATTGATTTTGAACTCCCCGTGGTTGATGTTGATCCTGAACTCAAAGGTGACACAGCTGCGGGTAATGTAATATAGCTTCTCTTCAAGGTCCTAACTCCTAATCATTATGTTATTGGTCTAAATTGTACATTTGTAATGTTCCGCACCTTAGTGATCAGATGCAAAGGGTGAGTAAAGACCTAATGCTGCGTCTTGGATTGGAATTAATGTTGATATGTGCACCTGAAGAGCTAGATATGCCATAAAACTGACTATAAATTATTTTATTTATGAATTTTTGAATATCAGTCCACTACTTTTCCTTTTATGAACTTCCTTGAAACGAAAAACAAGAAAAGACTATGCTGTATTATGTTCCCAAGAATCACAACCATGCATTTATTATATGACAGCCCTTATCTTTGCTGCACATTTTGATTCATATTTTTTATTTTGTTGCAAGTTGCAACATATCTCTTTTTATTTTCTTTGGCCTAATCACTTTGAGAAATAAAATGGACTCAGGTGGATCCAAACCTGCAACTCTTGACACAGGCGCTGTTGTTAATGTTCCACTATTTATTAATATAGTTGATCAAATATTGGTGGATACAAGAACTGGGCAATATATGAGCCGGGCATAAGTTTTTACTGTAAGAGTTCTTATAATTGGCATTTTTTTTTCTTTTAATTTATTTATTTATATAAATTAGCCGTTAACAATGCCAGATTGTTCTACCTTAAAACTTTTTTTAAATAATTTGCACCAGCCCTTGGTGGACTGGTGAGAGGTTGCGGACAATAGTTTCCACTATATTACATGTTAGTAGATTTTTTGTGCATTTCTTTTTCTTTTCATTTCCATGTTAAATAAATATGACATCAATGTTCTTAATGCAGTTACTTCTTTGCGGAAATGATTATTTCGGCTCAGGACAGGAAAGATCGTTTGTAGAAAAATTTTGGCATCTTCTTAATGGTTTCCTGTGTGGGACTACACCTTGCCTTAAAGCAGCACCGTAGACATTACATGTACCCAACCTAACAACCGGGCCTCCTTAACCAAAATGATATAGGATATTCTTCTACTTGGGATTTTATCATTAAAAATACATGATAACCAACACTACCATTGCCTCACGAGTCACTACCCTTCCCTCCATACAAAATGCTTGAGTTACACTGTTGAAGGTACCCCATTCTAACCATTTGCTGCAAATGGTTCAGAGCCTCCTCCTTTTTCTTTCCCATACAATGGGTAGGAATCACAAAGCCAAAAGCACTCTGAAGAAAATGCAATGTTTTTGTTTTGATAAGCGGTTTGACTAGACAATTTATATTCCTTTTCAATTAGCCAGCAAAAAAGTTAAAAAAAAAAAAAAAACAAACAAAAAAGATAAAACGCCAGTAAAGCAGGACTGGAAGACACCTATCCCTTTTCATAAATGATTTTTTAAGAACTACATTTGATTTCTTTAGCTATTAGTTACAGCATCTGATTGGATGCCATTTGCCAAAAAGAAAAGCAAAGAAAAATCGCTAACATGGATGCCAAAACGAATAAACAACATTTATTTCATCAGAACCGTAGAGATCTACTAAAGGCCTTCCAAGACATGGGATTTTTGGGGTCAGCCACTGGTTTTTTTCCAGCATTTCCTTTCCTACAAAGAATTGGTTTGAGCAACTTCTTCAGGACCCTGTTGAAACCAGACCCACGACGCCCTTTACGCACCCGTAGCACCGCCGGTGGTGGAGCTTGAAACTGTGAGCAGTGCGAACTTTTAGCCAGGCTTGGCTCCGATAGGCTTCTACTCAATATGGCTTGGTTCAGCTGCACCTCAAAGGAGAGCCTCTCAAACTGGTCCAGCAGCGTGCTCTGCTCGTCCCCAAAACTTTTGAGAACAACTGATATTTCATCCATGCTTTTATCTTCGTGTGCTAAACCCATTTTCCTTACCTGCTCAAACTCATCATATTCATTGTCATAAATCACAAAGTATATATAATCCTTCACTCTTTTTTATACATGTGAATCTTTGCTCTTTTCTTTAACTTTGCTTTTTGCTATGGCTCAGGGAAAGATGAGTTTGGGAGGCCAAGAAGACGATTGGGTTGTTATGGGAGGAAACTCAATTGTCTAAGCAAGGTAGCAGCAAGGCGTCAACAGAACAGACTCCCTACGGCTTGGAAACTGAGAGCGTAACCAAGGGGAAAGGGGGAATAAAGAATTATTGATTAATTGTATTTAATATAAAAATATTATTATAAATGATATTTTAATTAACGCTCTTCGTTTAAAAAACTTGGGTTAATCAATATTTATAAACATTTATTAAGTGAATTTCAAATTTAATATATAATGGTTAAATAAAAAATATTGTAAGTGACATAAGTATAAAGAAAAATATGTACTTTTAAAAAGTATTTTTAAGGAACGTTTTTAACATGGTAATAAGATAATAAGATGACTCAAAAGGAAATGCATACTGTATGTCTTACACAAGATTCCAAATAAATTACACTTTACTTCCATTTGAGTATGCTTTACTATTGCTGCCATTTCTACTTTGATAGTGGAGCCTAGGCCATGGGAGTTGTCCAAGCTTCCAAGCATTCTTCAGCCAAGCTGGACTTGTAATGTTTCACTTTATTCTTCCTTGTAACCAAGAAATCATGCTTTGCTCCTAACAAGCTTTTTCAACACAAAAGTGCCTATATGCTATTACTATTGCCTATATGCTATTTCTAGTTCTATCTACTAAGAAAAGAAAATCGATGTTAATTAAACAATATTTCTTTGTTAGCTTTGAAAAAAAAAAAAAAGAAAAATCACAACACTCTATCATAAAAAGGTGTCCAAAATTAAATTATCCAAACTCAAGGTTTGTTCAACATTTGAAAAATGACTTAGATAAAAAAATTTTAAGCTCCATAAATGAATTTGAACAAAAATTTAAAATTTACTTTAAAAATTATGATATTGTTAGACTATAAGTAATTTAAGTAAATTGTGTTTAAATAAGTAATTTAAGTAACTTTATTTTTTCCTATCAACAAGATAAAAGTAACTATTATTTCTTTTTTTTTTTTTTTACTATGGAAATTCTATTTTAAAGTAATTTAAGTAAAATTTAAATATACCATAGAATTTCGTTGGAAACAGAATAATAGGATAAATAAATACGGATATTACACAATTGTTTCATAAAATTTTAAGTAAAAAAAATATATGTATATATATATACTAGTATAGATACTAGCATATACTCATACCGTATTGATGTACGGTACCCTAAATACTAGTAATTTCGAGTCTCAGTGTCTTCCTCATCATCATCTTCGTTGTTTCCAATAACCCTTTTTATTCCTAAAGTTTTAAGCGAATTGCTTGAAACATAAGCTTTGGCGTTTTTTTTTTTATGCTGAATAGTGTAGGATTTCTTCCGTCTTGATTTCTGATTTATTTCTAGTTAGTTACTTTATTCTCTTTCTTTCGGGTTTGCTAATTTTGCTTGGAAATGAGTTTATTCAATGGCTAAAATGCCTTTTTTTCATTTCCAGATCGTAATCTTAGCAAGAAACAAAAATAAGAGAAAATTATTAGTTTTTTTTTCTTTTAAATGGCGATGAACAGAAATGCAATTACGACAGCGATTTTATTGTTTTTAATCTTCGCCGATGTTTCCAATGCTTCGTTGTTTTGGAAGCTTCGATACTTGCGGATAAATCTCCATCAAAGAACGACACCACCGCCCCAACGCTGCCCGTAATTTCTCTTTCTTTATATTATTTTATTTATTATTTTACTTTTCGTTTTATTAGTCAACAATTTGGTATTAACAAAAATTATCTATTGTTGGAATTTTAGAGTTCTCCGTTGCCAAGTCCTTCATTGGGTTCGGGCGCCAAGAAATCAGACAGTCCATCGAAATTGGATCCCAAGTTTTTGAATAGAACGGATTCCGTGACTCCACTTCCAGATGATAAGAAGGATCCAACACTATCGGATAAAACGGAGAAGGAGAGTCCAGCTCCTGAAAACGAAATAGATAGTGGAAATAATTCAAGTTTAACTTCAAATTCAAAGAATGATAAAACAATGAAGGATACTGAGGAGAAGAAAAAGTATATATATAGTGGAAAGAATCCAAAAAGTACGGAGCCTGAGAAACAAAGGAGGATAAGAATAAGAAGAAGACAAATGGGGATGAAAGTGGTTCCAAGTCAGGGATTGCGGAAACGTGTGATGGCGTAGCTAACAGCTGTGTAGACGGGAATTCCATGACTGCCTGCATTTAAGGTTTTGGAACTGGTCATTCCATACTGCTCTTTCGGTTTTTTTTTTTTCTTTTAACTGGTTGTGGTGGTGTTGAGTTCTGATGTGAGGGTACTCTTAATAGGATAAGAAAGGGAAGATAGTGATCGGATACAAAAGCATGTAGTGTTTATTGCATTTGCACTTTGATGCACAAATCAAAAATCAAAATAAAAGAGGTCAGAACGAGGGAAAAGTAAAAGGTGTAGATAAAATGTAACATGTGATGATAATGCTTAGATGTTTGTTTTTATAAATGAGTGACATGGGACCAATGAGGGACAACAATGACATGTTCGAGTTAATGTGGCACTAAACATGTCAGGTCAGGTCGACTCAAATGTCTTAAATACCTTTGGTTGTTTGCTAGAAGCCTCTAATAAAGAAAAGACCATCATGCCTTTTGAACCACTAAATACCCCAACATTCTATCATCTCATCAAACAGTCTGAGTATCTGACTATTAGGTGTGCAGTTAATTCATTTTGCACAAGTCGACCAACTTAAAGGGGACCATAAGGGATCTAATCCCCTATGGTTAAGGTCGGTGTGTAGGCTGGCATCAAAGAACTATTTGTTGTTTATTTCGACATAAGGTGCTCTAATGAATGCCAACCTGATGTGAGTCCAATCTTTCACGTGTGCTTTGGGTTAAATATATAAGTAATTTGAAAGTTGTTGAGGTGTTTTTTATTTGGGATGATCCGAGGTTAAGATGAAAGATTTGGAAAGGTTGAAGAGTCCATCTGGCTAATGTGAGAGTTAAACATTTTTTCAGAAGCTTGAACTTGAATCCTTATTTAAGCTTTGGTGATGAACCAACCACCAGTTCACTAGACCGATTCGACTTTAAGACCCATTTGATCTGGTGAAACTGACCAAGTTAAGTGATTGAGGTTACATTAAATGGAGGTAATTTGGACAATAAAATTCAGAGTAGAGAAGGTAAAAAAATATTTTCTAATAGTGCTCTGACATGTGGCACAATCTAGGTCATTCATCTGATTTAAGGAGCACCTATATAAAAGGCTATTGGGACCTTTATTTTTTACCTTTTTGCTTTCTTTCTCCCTATTTGACCTAAATTTTTCCACATCAAAAGCTTTTTGTCTTTTTTGACCTTACAGTTCTTTTCTTTTCATTCGTTCTTTCCATTTTTCTCGGTATGTACTCTCTTTATCGTGTCTTTTAGCTTTAGTTCTAAAAAAAAAAAGTTTTAGGGTAAAGCTTTGGAGAGGTCAGCTTAGGCAAGATGAAGATGATTTGGTCCTACCAATCATTAAGGGTTGAGACTACTATAAGATAACATATTGGCTTAACCCAATGTCCAAGGCAACGAGGCAATAGGTTGATGAGAATACTTGGACAAAAGGGGAATGGGTTCTGAGTACAGAAAAGTTGTGTGTTCAGATAGATTTTGATTTGAAAAATTTACCTTTTTTCCCCATATCTCACGTTGACGCATCTTATATAGTTGATCTTCACTCATCTTCCCCTTTTTGAGGTCCAGTCTCATCAGCCTTCTTTTTCTTCTACTCTCTTGCCTATAAATGCTTTTATCATTTTTTCTATTCCTTCTCAATCAACTTTTGTTGACATCACCTTTTCTCTCAATGAGTATTTTCATCCATTTTTTTCCCTTAAGGTCATGGTGCTTTCCACCATTGTTCCAACTCAGAATCTTACTCTTGTTCAGAAGTTTGAGTATGAATCTTACCCTTTGCTACCTAGGCATGATCCCTAAAGACATGATGAAGGAATTAAAATATAGGACTAATCCCAAGAACTACCCTAATATGTGTTCAGCTTATCATATCTATGTTTTATGAATGAACTTTCGTTTTCTCGAGGAGGGGTATAGTATACTAATGCCAAACTCTTCAGATCGAGTCACAAATAAATTGGAGCGACATCGACTTTGGGAATATTAAGATTCGTTTGTGGCCAGTCTGAGGTTTTATTTTATTCTTTATTTATTTTAATTTTTAATTCTTATAATTTAATAATCACTCAGCTCATCCTTAACTTTATATGGTACATAATAGGTTTTATTGTCTTTTTGTCAACATTTAGATATTTTTCCCAACCTCCTTTTATTCAAGGAAATTTTTTTTATTAAAAAGTACCCCAACAATAAAAGATTATTTTACGTCATAGCTTAGCCTAATAAAAAGTTGTTTGCTGACTACTCGAGCTCCATCAAGAACTAGAAGTTACTTTTCCTCTACCTCCCACAATAAAAGAAAATAGAGAGATAATAAGGCCGAGGTTAAGGTTAAGGTTAAGGCCTGAGAGGTAATAAATGAGTTCGGTAATTTTGTAGATATGCTTATTGTTCTTTATGTTTTAGATCTCTTTGATCAAGACAAAATAATGGAGTATACTTATAGGATGAGCTTGTTATAGATGCCCATGAATTGACTTTTCCCTAAGTAATAAACAAGACGAAGTACCAGGGTAGGTGTGAGGTAACCTCATAGGAATTTTGTTTTGTTTGATTTTTTCTAAAACTTTTAGCTTGGTTTTACAAAGATATCTATAAATAAGAACTTTAGCTTCTCTCTTTTTCAATATGAGCCGGCTGAAGAAGGCCAAAACCAAAAAGATTCAACTCAATGCCCTCTTTTAAGGGGGAATAAGGTTATCAATCCCACGATAAATAAGTAACCAAGCTATTTAGCTCAGCATTCTTCTACTAGTAAAAAACATAAAATGACTACACCTGGGAAATCTTCTCAACAATTCTTCCTCTCGTAAAGAGATTAAAGATGAAGGCCTTTTCCTCTAACTTGAAAAATCTTAAGTCCAAAGTTCTAAGGCCCAGTTTGAAAAAAACTTGTACCAACTTAGAGTACACTCAAAGTGATAACCCATTAGGGAAACCCGATATAGCTAGGAGATTCTGCAAGATTGTGATCCTTGCTAGTAGTAAGTATTATTTAGCTTCAGCTTAGCTCTCCCTTTACTCTGTGCTTTTTATTTTGCTAAGTCTGAGTTCATCATATTTAGTTTACTAAAAGCCTTATTTTAAGCCTGTTGACAATACCAACCAAGCTTTCCACCTTGCCTACCTAGTTATAACTTATCTATTTAAGGTTGAGAAAGATACGATTATCCTAAGCAAGTAGCATAAGAATAGTTCAGATGCCCTATGTAGTCTGAGGTCCTGCCTCAGTGCTTCTCACAAAAAAGAGACCAAGCAAAGAAAAAAAATGGACGAGTTGCTGGCCAAGTTGAAAAGCATGAATATAAAAAAGGTTCAGTAAAGTTTATAAGAGAATAAGCCAAGCTAAAACTTAGTAAAGCTCAAATTGAAATTATAAAACTAAAGTTTGAGCTCAAAGCTAGGGTGAAGAAAAAAAATAGCTCAAACAAAAAGCCATTGAGTAGTTTAAAACTTTCAAAGAATTCTTTAGGCTCAAGGTAAAGTTCTCTAAGGAGAATGTCCTCAGTGCCTTTAAGCTAACAAAAGATAAGGTGTAGCTTAAATTCACTGACCTTAACCTTGACTTATTTGATATTGACCTGAACAACATGAGATCGAGGCCCCCTCCACACTATTTCAATGAGAAAGAAGAAAAGGGAGAGGATGAGGATGAAGCACTAGATGCTGAGCTTGAGCCTACCTTAGGCCCCAAGGTTAAAGAAAAACCAACTTATGTTGTTGCTGCTGTTGTTGGAGGTGCTGATGCTACTACTGCTAATGCTTAAAAGGCTTTTTTTCTTTTTTTGGTTTTTGTTAATTTTTGTTGATTTTTGTTATAACATCGGATTAAATCACTCTACATAACTTCTTTCACTTAAAAATTTTTTATATTAGCCTAATTATCATTAATGAAAAGTGGAACATTTTGCTTTAAGTTTTAGTTTAGCTTTGTCTTACTTATTTAGTTTAAAATTTCAAGTTTAAGCTTGGATAATTGTTCACAAGATCACCTTATAGCTTAAGTTCGATAAACTCATCATAAACAATTTAAAATAACTCAGCCAATAGTTAATTTGATAAAAAATAATCTTAAGTTTCACCTTGATTTAAGTGAGCTTGAAATTCACCTAAATGTCTAAAAATGGCTCAAATTAACTTAAGAATCCATTTTAAAACAAGCTTTAGGTCAACTATGTTAGGTCAGTCGAATCCTAAACTAAAAAAAAAAAAATTTAGGTTGGATTTTGCCAAAGTTATATTAGGTTGGACAAAACACTATTTTTAAACTCACAATGAACACGATCATTGTAACTTCATTCAATGAATTTTGAATTACAAGAGTGAGTTTGGTCAAGTTTGAGCTATTGAAAATACACTTTTAAATTATATGCGTTACATATCCTCAACAAAAGATTGTTGTTCATGTTTTGTAATCTATAAGTCACATTATGGATGACCTATTTAACCACATAGGGTCATTCCCAAATCGAAGCTAGCTTGCCACCAGTCATAAACTCTGGAGGCTTCAATCTTCCTAAGCATCAAGTCCCCATTCCTAATGTTTTTACATCGGACCCTTCTGTTGTAATAGTTGAATACCCTTTGTTGATAAGTCATTATTTTGGTTAAGGTCACATCTCTTTGCTCTTTAACTATTAAAGCCTCATTGTTTCCTTTTCTTGACTCCAATTCAACTCTCAAGCTCGAGAGATCAATCTCTATGGCCACCACAACTTCTATTCCAAATGCCATATGGAAAGAGATTTTTTAGTAGGGACTTTTATGGTTGTCCTCAAGGCCTTAGTCTTCTAAGAAGCTCATCAGCCCACTTACCTTTAAACTTGTCCAACATCTTTTTTAGGGCTTCCAATATTGTCTTATTAGCCATCTTAAATTAGTCATTAGATTAAGGGTGGGCAACTAACGTGAACCTTAAATCGATATGGAGGTTGAAACACCATTTCTTGAGCGTCTAATTTTTAAATTGTTTACGATTATCCATGATTATGGATTGAGGTAGTCCAAACCTATAGACTATATTATTCCATACAAATTTCTTAACCTAGGACTTAAATGTAGTAGCCAAGGCTTCGATTTCAAGCCACTTTGTAAAGTATTCTACTACTATTAGGATAAATCTCCTTTGGATTATGGCCAAAGTGAATGGTTTAAGGCATCTATCTCCTAATACATGAAGGGCTAAAGACTGATAATAAGGATAAGCTCAGTTGATGGAATGTGCGATACATGGATGAACTTCTAGCATTTATCATATCTTTTCACCAAGTTGGTTACATCCCTTCTAATGGTGGGCTAATAATAGGCTTACCTTAAAGTATTTTGTAAGCAAATGGCTAAGGTTCAAGGTGACTCTAGCATATCCCTTCATAAATTTTTTTTAAGACATAGTTCGTTTCTTTATCATCTACACATCTTAGGTAAAGTAGGCTGAAACATCTTCTATATAATTTTTCATTAATCATCATATACCGATAAGCCTTCCTCATTAAGACTTTAGCTCGGACCCTATCTTTAGACAGCTCTTCCATAGTTAGGTATGTCTTAATCGAGAACATCCAAGTGTTTTTTTCTTTAATCTATTCGATTAGTTTCTCCTCAGTATTTTTTCGTGTCAATTTTTCTACTAAGGCTTGGCCTGAATTCTCTATTATTATCCTAGAGTCTAGTTTGGATAAGAGTTTGCTAGTGAGTTTTCGGACCTCATATTTTTTGCACCTCAATTTTTTAAAAATCAACGAAGGCCAGCGCTTTGTCTAAATATCTCTGGATTCCTTCTTTCTAAGCTCTAAACTCACTGTTTATATGACCAACCACTAATTATGAGTCACTACATACGATTATATACTTAATATTTAGCTTAGCTGCTAGTTTTAAGCCAGTTATTAGTGTCTTGTACTTGAACTCATTATTAGATGCCTTAAATCTAAATTTTAAGAGTGCACTGATATTGCAAGCCTTCCAGGTTGATCAAAATGAGGTTGGTTTCATTGTTGTGGTTGGTGAACAATCCTACAATAAAAAATTTCCATTTTTTTTTTGTAACTTTCTTATTCTTCTCAAGTTGTTCATTAAGATGAGTCAACATGAACTCTA